AACAAGGTTAGAAAGGGTGAAAAATCCAACATATCCATAGGTGATTCTAATGATGAACCTGTGCTATTGATGGAATTTGAGAATGTATGTGGAACAATGATATACTAGTGGTATATGGACACTGGCTTATCAAATCACCTAACTGGAAACAAACAGTGGCTGGTTGATTTTGACTCTGGTATAAAGACCAAGATGAAATGCGCTGATGATGAGTATCTGAATGCTGAAGGAATGAGAAATTCATAGTAAAATTGAATAATGGAAAAACTGTATTGATCAATGATGTACTGTATATTCCTAACATGAATAGCAATCTAATAAGTGTAGGTCAGCTGATTGAAAAAGTTTTTCAATAACCATGAAGGACAATCTCTTGGAGTTGTATGACTGTAATCAGAAGTTGATTATGTAGTTTGAAATGGGAAGAAACACGACATTCAAGATGAACATTGCAAAAATAGACACTCAATGCCTAAGTGCTAGAAGTGCTGAAAGGGAAAGTGAGTTGTCGCACAATAGATTGGGACATCTGAACTTCAGAAGCTTAGGGCATCTGAGTTCAAAGAATTTGGTACATGGAATTACAAATATTGTGGCACCAGAGAAATCATGTGATATATGTATGAAAGGCAAGTAACCAAGATTTTCATTCTCATAAAAAATGCCTCCAAGAGTAACTCATGTTTTGGGTATGGTGCATTTTGACGTATATGGGTCATTTGAGGAAACAAGTACTTTGTATACTTTGTGGATGAGTTCACAAGAATGACATGGGCAACACTTATAAAGTTCAAACATGAGGTGTTTTTTGAGTTCATGAAGTTCAAACTGAAGGTTAAAAATCAAAGTGGACAAAGGTTAAATATCCTCATAGCCGATGGTGGAGGTGAGTTCAACTCAACAGAGTTCAAGAAGTTCTGTAAGGAAAATGCTATTGAGCATGAGATGACTACTCCATACACTCCACATCATAATGGTCTTGCTGAAAGGAGAAATATAACTCTAATTGGAATGACAAGAAGTATGTTGAAGGAGACAAATCTACCTGACACATTGTGGGGGAAATTGTAACACCCCAAATTTATTGGAATATTTATTTAATTTATTTAAATATAAATATTCATATTTTTGGTGATTTTCGGTGGTTGGTGGAAAATATCGAGAATTAAGGATTTTTGGTTATTTATTTAAATAATAGTATATAATATGAATATATTGGTATTATTATTAATTTAAATAAATATAAGTTAACTAAGGGCAAATTTGACAATTAAGAAGGAGTTAGTGAGGGTAATATTGGAAAAGTCCAATTTTAAGGCCCAAAGTTAGGTTTAACAAAAAGGAATTTTGAGGAAATTAGGATTCATTCTTGTTAGATCGTGAAAAAGGAAGAAATAGAGGCCAGAGCTCTGAGGAAGAGAATTGAGGCAAAAGCTTCGCAAGGTTTTTGAGAATCAAGGAGAAGGCTTAGAGTCGGCAATTAAATTATGGGGAGTATTGCCTTCATTGTTTTCAATGTGTGATTTCAATTTGTTTAAAGCCGGTTTAAGGGTTTAAAGGGTTAGAGACTGATTTTAAGATAAATGGAATTAGGCCTTCATGACCAACATCTATTATTGAGGTTTTAACCGTATAGGGATTTGAACTGATGGTCTGATATGCTTGAGGTCGATTTGGGTTTGAGGGAAGGTAGGCCTTCGTGGCTAAAATCTGTTGTTGAGGTTTCAACCCTGTAGGATAATTAGATTGTGCGAAACTCTAATGACTGTGGTGCAGTTGTAAAGAAATTATGGGAATTAGAGCATGAATATGATACGGGATTGGCCTAATAAGTCGTAGATTTTGTGCCTTTATCGCTGTAATACCTTAGGAATGATTTAGGGATGTTTTGGGGGCATTGGGGAAGGAAATCATTGGACTTTTGGGTTGATTTTAGGTTCTGGTGCATAACAGTGTTTTGCTGTAATCACGTGTTTGCACAGCGTACGAAACTCGTCCCAGACTCGCACAACAAAGAAACTCGCCCCAGCCTCGTAGAACGAACTTGCTAGCGAACGTAGCAGAGTTTCACGAATTCTGATTTTTGTGCAGTGATGCTTTGATGTTTGATGCTGTGATTTCTTTGATGAATTACTGTGATTTATATGAGATGAATACATGATTATATGATGATTTCAATTATGTAACTATGATGATTATGATGTTGATTTCCATAAGTTTTGACGATTCTATGATAACATGATATGGATGATAATGATTTTGATGAATGATGTTACACCTATGATGTTATTATGAGGATGATTATTGACGTGTGCATCATGCATTCATGTGCATCTGGACTTCGATTTAGGACCTTGATTTCTTTGGCTTCAGCCACATTGTGCGGATGTGAAGTATTTTGATGTGCTCCGGTTCTCGAGTAGAATCGATCCTATTGATGGGGATCTATGGAGGGCTGATGGCCTAGTGTCCATCGAGCTGTGGTGATTGGTACCACATGCATGAGTCCTTTTGCATTTGCATTTATGAGATAATTTGGTGTAAATTATGATATTATGACCTTTGGTGTTCCTTGATGATTATGATGATGTTGAGTATGAAAATGACGCCATTCTATATATTGAACTCCTATATTGATTATTATGAATCGTTTTACTCACCTTGCATGTTTGAATGTTGCCTCCACGTGGGTAGCGTGCAGATGACCAGGTTTAGCCATGGATGTCTTCGAGGATCTTTTTGGAGTTTTGAGTTGTTGGCCATTTTGGCTAACTTAGAGGGTCTTGCTCTGATAGTGTAACATCGGGTTGGGGTCTTTGAGTTAAACTATGTTTTTATTTGATTTTGTTATGTTTCCGTACAAGGAAAACTTTGGATTATGCCTTTTTGAGTTCCGCTGCCTTTTGAGCAATTTTTGATATCTTTTGGGAAAACTCGTTGTTTACGGAGCCTTGACCTATATTTGATTTATTGGGAAATGTACGCCCTTTAAGGTGATTTTTATTGAGTTTCATATTTTACTCTGATAAATGTGAATATTTTGCCATTTAATTTATGGGGTAGAAAAAGTGTGTTACAGGAATCAATTGTCACGTCAACATATGTCCAACAAGAAGTTAAAGGAAGTATTTACTATTGAGAAGTGGGCTGGAAGAAAACAAAGTGTTATCCATTTCAAGGTATTTAGTTATGTATCTTACAAACATATACTTAGATGTTACCTTAAGGAAATTGGATGACAGAAGCAAAGTTATGTTGCTTATATGTTACCACTGCACATGTGCTTATAAGCTCTATTTCCTAGTCACCAATAAAGTTGAAGTCAGTATAGATGTCATAGTGAAAGAATCAGAAACATGGTATTGGAGCAAGTCTCAATCCAGCTATAGTGTAGTGTCAACACTAGAGCTTAATTCTGCCTCTAAAGAAGATTTTGCCTCTGAAGGTGAGTCTGACTCTGAAGATGATTCTGAATCTGAATATAACTCTGATTCTAAATGTGACTCTGACTCTGATGGTGGACCCGACTCTGAAGGCAATGTAACTTTTGAAGGTGATTCTGCCTCTAAAGGTAGAGCCTTTAAAGATGATCCAGCCTCTGATGGTAATTCTGCCTCTGAAGGTGGAGCTTTTAAAGGTGGTCCTGCCTCTGAAGGTGGGGCTTCTAAAGGTGGTCTTGCCTCTGAAGGTGAACTTGAGCAGTTCTAGAGGCTACGAAGAATTAGACAGATACCATGGAGACTTGCAGACTTTGAGTTGTTGCATGATATTGAGATTGATTATGAAAGGAAATTCATACATAGTGCCATGATGGTGGACTTTGAACCTATAAGCATTAATGAAACACTTAAGAAGAAGGTGTGGGTGAATGCCGTTAAGGAAGAATTTGAGCTTATTGAAAGAAACAAGACATGGGAATTAACTACTCTACCTCAGAATAAGATAGCCATCAGTGTGAGATGGGTTTTAAAGATAAAACTAAAGCAAGATGGTCCAGTTTCCAAGTATAAAGCAAGGTTAGTAGCTAGATAATTCCTACAAAAGTATGGTTTAGACTACTTTGAAGTGTTTGCACTTGTAGCTAGACATGAAACCATAAAAAAAAATTCATTGTTGTAGGAATTGAAGTTCAAGGTGAGCAAACTTGTATGGTTGATGACAGACAACAAGTCAGTCATAAGTCTTGCCAAGAATCCAATGTTGCATGGAAAAAGCGAGCACATTGATACTAAGTATCATTTTCTGTGCAATCAAATTCAGAATGGAGTGCTTGAGGTTGTTCATGCAGCACTCAGAAATAACTTGCAGCTGTGATGACTAAGGCAATCAAAATTGAACACTTCATTAATTTGAGGGATAAAATTGGTGTTATTGACTTTTAATCTTGAATATAAATTAAGGGATGGTGTTGTAATGTAATTCAAATTCAAGGTTGTTGCATTTCATTTTGAGTTTGCATTTTCATTTCAGTTGCATTTAATATGCATTTGAGTTTGAATTATTTTATAAAACTCAAAGTTAGTTACAATTTATAATAGATTATAAATTTGAGAATTGAAAATTAGTTATGCAATTCTATTATCTTCTTCCTCTTGTGCATTGTTAGAAGACTTTGTCTAGAGTTAATTTCAAATATGCAATTCAAAGACTAAGCGACAAAACTCTCATTTAAACAATTTATCACACCTGAGTGCCATGTATTCGAACCTAGAATCTAAAGTTAAGAGGGATGAAATTCTTACCAAATCATCCGAGTAATGTTTTTGCAAGCATTTGGCGAAGCATAGTAATACCAACTTCTATAACTTTGATTCTATAAATTGGGGCAACATTTTCTTTTCATTATAAATAATTTGAGACAACTATCATACAAACTTTTCAATCTCTCAATTCTCAAACTATAAAATACTAATAATAAAAGTCCCCCTAATCCATAACTTAATTTACAGAGCCATAAGAAGATTGTGACTCATTTACCATCCAAAAGTTTCACCAATGCCTCAAACACTTTGATCATAGTAACCACCATAACTTATATGAGCTCTACTCAATGGAACACCCCTTACTGCTGCAAATGCTTCATTCAATTTTGTTGCATGCTGCACCACCTGCTTAATCCTCTGCAATTTCAATTCATATTTTTACAAGAGATTAGTTATCGAAAAAAGATAAAACCAGTGTTCAATGTATCTGGTCTATATATTATTCAAATACATTAATTATTCAACGTATCTAAAAAGTTAAAATTTTCTTATAAATCGAACCAGAAAGAATATATAACAACAAAAGAAACAAGTGCTGACCTTGTCATCAGTGTAGATCTGAAGCCTAATAGTTTGGTCTTTCTTGTTTCTTTGTTGGCTTCCAAACAACAAGACACAAACTGTGGCAGCAACAACACCAAAAGAACATATAGCTCCAACTCCTGTCAAACTCCATTTCCACAAATTAAAACGACCGTTCATGTTCTCTCCTTCTGTCTCATCATAGTACATAACAACGTTGTTGTCTGTCTCCATGTTCTTCATTCTAGGAGATGCCATCATCTCCATGTCCTCAACTGCATCAAGTTGAGAAAACAATCCTCTACCACTGCATGACTTCGGTGACTCCAATTTCATGTCAACAAATTTGTTTTCCTTCATAGGAAAGAAAACTTGTGAAACACTGTCTTCGTCACTGTGTTCTTTCACCAAACTTTCTTCGCTTGGAACTTTCTCAATTTTGGGTTCGAATTGAATTGGAACATGGACAAGTAGTTTTGGTACTTTTGAGGATTCGGTTTGAATGGTTTTTGTTGATTTTGGGGAGGTGCAAAAGTAATCTTTGTCAAAGTTACTGATTGAGTCTGAGAATGAGTTTCTTTTTCCTAAGAAAATCTCTTTCTCATCATCAAGAAAGCCATCATCAGAGAGGATAACCCACTCATTAATATCCATCTTCACAATGATTCTTTAGGATCTGAATCTTGATCTGTAAGAGTGATCAAAAGAAAAAGAAAGGTTTATATAGGGAGGTACTAATAGCAAATAATAGCAACAAAAGAAGAAAAAAAGGTTTTCTGAATACTAAGTGTTAATTTGTGAATCAAACTTGGTGGCTTTTTTATGTTGAATTTTAAGACAAATAATAAGAGTATAAGAACAAAATCTAAGCCACCATTAAGTGTTTTTGTTGTTATTGTAACGTGGAGAGTGAGTTGTTGTGTCGTTATTACATGGGTTGAGTGAGTGTTAATCCATCTTAAAGATGACAGATTAGGGAATCAATTAAGTGGGTTCCACCAAGCAAGATAGCCTCTACGTTTGGAATTATGAAATTAGGAATCTTGTTGTAGATTGGTGTTTCTTCAAAGATTTTTATTGGAGATTGGATAATTAGTTAGTACAATAATTGCATGATTGGTTTAGCTTTGAATAAAGGTGAGTTTTGATTTGAATGGTTATGGAATATGTATATAAGGTTGAGTTATGGTCAAGCTTTGTATGGGAAAAAGAACAAGAGTGGTGGCCAAGCTAAGTAAAGATAATCTTGTTTATTGTAATTGTTTATGGAATGGTAATTTTATAATAGGAGGAGGGTGGTTTTGTTTCAATCCAAAATAAAAGAAAAGATAAGAAATGATTCTTTTGTTAGGTTGGTTAGTGGAGTGTGCTTTTGATGATATTGATGAGTTGTGAGTGTTGTGGAGCCAAAAAGACCATACAAGAAGAAACCTCTCCAAACACAAGTGTCCATGATTGGTGTAATTGAGAATAAGTCTCCATAATTGGTATCATTGAGGATATTACAAAGTTAAATTTAAAGTAAACATATTAATTTTAATTAATTTATATTATTTTTAAGAAAGAACTAATAAAATCGATCAATTACATTCCTACTAGTACAACCAATTTTACATAAAAAAATATATATATTTTAATGCTTTAAATACTAATTATGTGCACTGCAATATATTACTATCTATCTATATAAAAAGAAATTTAATTGATTTTTCGATTTATGTGTCAACTCTATCTATCAATTTCATCTTCTATTCTTAGAACTAGAATTATACTTGTGTTATATTTTATATAATTTTTTTACTCAAAGAAAACCTTTCATTCTTATTTTATATTGCATGTCAATTCATAATTTATATTTTCAGGTTACTTAAACACATCATACAAAAAATTGTTAATCACTACTTTATTGCATGTCAATTCATAATTTATTTTTTCAGGTAACTTAAACACATCATACAAAAAATTGTTAAACAAAAAGTAGTGATGTTTCATTTATTAGGCCGTTAAGATGGCAAGGGTTTTTTACTCTCTTATTAAGACTATGAGTTTTTTTTTTTTTTTTGTAAAATTAAGTTTATATAATTGTTTCAACTCTTAACCATTAATATGAGTAGACTCTTGTCTTCATTATCAACCTTCACCATTATATTCTGCAAATTATCAATGATCTTGTGAAAATACAGCAACTGTTGCACTATGGATTTGTTATCTACCATTCAAAATGAATAGAATTGTTGTTCCAGACATAACATGCATGTGAGACAAAGACTTATGACCTTATTCACAAATTTGAGTTTTCACTTATTGTGTTAGTCATGGTATAGATATCTCATCCTTAAATACTTCAACACACCTTTGTTGAGTTAATATTGCTTGAATATTCTCTTTCTTGTGAAATCACAATTAGAACATGTGGTGCTCATTTGTAAACTTAAACTATTTATCCCACATCTGATGTCATTTCTTGTGAAATTGAAAGATTCAACCATATCAAGATCTTCTCATTGTGAAAATATATCAATGATTTTAATCACACCAATAATAATGATGTGTGTGTAACAAAGAACTAAGATAACCAATCTAAATGACCTTAAGAAACAATTGACATGCATAACCATGTAAGCTAATCGACAACAAGCAAGAGGAAAATAAAAGAAAAGTACATAAATAGTTTATTTATTATTTGAAATATATGTTTGAAATTTTTAAAAATTATTTTACTTTATTATTAGTAATGCAATTTAATGTTTGGGAAATCGACTATTTTTACTATAAAAAAATTAGGGTAATGTTAACTTGTGCCATTGGGGCACATGTTAAGAACTAAATTAAGAAACATTATCTTGAAAATTGTGTATAAACTTTAATTAAAGTATAAAATTAATTTTTAAATCGTGTTTTTCAATACAAATTTACTATAAGTGGTTTTCTTAACATGTGCCTCAAGAGCACAAGTTAACATTACCCAAAAAATTATTGCACTAAGATAAGAATACATGAATCCGTTTGGGATGAATTTGGTGTTCAATTTTTTATCCTCGTTAGAGATTAGGTGGAGATTGGAGATTTATCAAAGATTGGAGAAAAAGTTTAAATTTATTTTTACCTTCTATAAATTATTTTCAAATTGAAAATTTACGGTTCAAAAAGTCTTAAATAACTCTTTGACTATTTTTAATCACTTGAATAATATCAGTTTGCCTAAGAAACATATGTGCACCAAATTAATAATAGATGTATCAATTTGATCGATATATATGTCCAATTTCAATAGCTTACGGTGCAAGCTAGCACTCATACAAACTACTACTACAAGTTATTTACAATAGGTTAACTATAGGAGGAAGTTAGTTAGAGATTGACTTCACACACTCTTGTAACTATAAATAGATGTATGAGGACACATTGTCATTTAATTGAGAAATCAAAAAACTATCCATTCAGTTTGTTTGTTATGGTGTTATGAGCCTTGAGTTGTCATCATTTGTATCTTCAACCATTGCATATAAAGGAGCATTTACATTGATTCAAAAGCAACACACAAATGAGAAAGACATCACATATTCACTCAAATTTTAAGGAATTCGGTATACAGGTTCTCTTACTTATAAAGTGTTCAACCTCCATTTTTTTAAATAATATGGAACTTCCAACTCACATTTTGCTGGCCACCACCATGTCAAGAAAACTTTTGATATAAAGAGTCAATCCCTTACTCGAACTATCTGCTCTAATATCACTAAAGGGTCATAAGGAATGTAAGAGCAAGATTTGTCTCTACATGATTATCTCTATGTTTTGATGATAAAAATTAAGTATTTGTGAAAGAACCATTTTATGTTCTAATGTTTGTTATGTGCAGATCATGATAATTAAATATATAAGATCAAACAAACAATCAACATGTGCAACTAATACAATATGAGAGTTACTATGTGTGACGTATCATAAAGCGCTTATTGGAGAAGCTAGTTTGCTTATGCATCTGATCACGATCAGAGAGATTCAAGGACGCTGGATATTGCAGTTGCAATGCTCCTGTGGATTCTGCTCTGAGAAGTGCATCTGATCTGAAAGCAAACAAAGTGTATTGAAGAAGCAAGTTTGGCTCTGTATATGATCACAATCAGAAAGATCCAAAGATGTTGTATATTGCAGTTGTAATGCTCTTGTGGATTCTGCTCTGAGAAGTGTATCTGATCTAGAAGCTATCAACGTATCTGAGATATAGTCCTCTGAAGAACTACTCTGAAGACTCTGATGACTTGAAGTTCTGAAGGCTGAAGGCTCTGAAGACCAAGTGCAGAAAGACTCTGAAGACGTGTTCGGAAGATCAAGACTCTGAAGATTCTGAAGACATGATTTCTGAAGAATCAGTCATGAAGATTCTTAAGACTGTTTCATAGGAAACTTATATCTTGGAATGCTGAAGATTGGATTCTGAAGTTGAAGATTGTGTCAGATAAGCTGCTGCTATTAAATCTGATAAACATGTGCTTAAACAACTCTGATGCTGAAGCTTTCATACCAAAGTAGTTGCTGAACTACTCATCAGATGAATCATCAGAAGAACCAAGTCAAGAAGACTACAATACAACGCATGCAAACATTTCTCTATGACAAAGACGTTGGTACTATTCATAAGCATAGTTTTCAATGTTGAGATATTAAAGTTACAAGCAAAGGTCATTGTTCCAACACGTGAGCTTATTCTATCCGTTGGAATATAACCGTTGGAATTTGAGATTACATTTCTACCCTCACAAAGCTGCACTATAAAAGAAGAACATTTGATTCATTCAAAGGTCAGCTAGTGAGTGAGATCATTACAAAGCAAGTCAGCTTGTTACAAAGCAATGATGCTAACGAGTGAAGTTAGCAACATAGTTGATTAATAAGAAAAACTTTATGCTAAGAAGTCACAGTGCTTACATAAGAAAGCTTTTAAGCAATATGGAAACTACTGTTCTAATAATCTCATAGAGATTTATCTTTAGATTAGTTTCTGTATTAGGAAGCAAGGAGTTGTTGCTCAATACTTGCTATGTACTTAATTAGGAGTAATCTGCTTGATAAGAAGCACTCATGTAATCTCCGGCAACACAAATTCATCTTAGAATAAGTGGTTCTTCAAGTAATCTTGTGAAGATCAGAATACTTGAGATGACAAGTGACAGTTGTCATTTGTGGTAACTAATATAAGATCTTAATTGATCGGATTCTATTAGGTGCCAATGGACGTTATATCCTAAGGGATCCCTGAACGTGTCATTGTCTATTTGTTAGTCACCTGCAGTTAGCTTGTGCAACTGTAATCAGTTTGGTTATAGTGGATTAAGTCCTTGCTTGAGTGAGGCAAAATCACCTTGGAAGGGTGGACTGGTTTAGCTTGAGAGTTGCTCAAGTGAACCAGGATATATCTTGTGTTCTTTACTTGTGTTATGCTTTATTATATATGCTTCCGCAATGCATCTTAAAGAACTCTATAGAAAGCAACAAGTGAAGAAACCCAGAAAAAGTTTTAATAGAGTAAATACCCAATTCAACCCCCCCCCCCTTTCTTGTGTTTTTCTCACACCTTCAGTTGGTATCAGAGCCTGGTTCTGTTATTGATGGATATCAAACACCTAACAGTGTCAGAAAAAGATCCTAAC